CGTATCAATATTCAATCCTCTCCAGCTTTTGTTTTTGGCTTTTGTTGGATCTTTCTTTATGGATGAGACGCTTCATCTTGGAAGGTATTCTGCCCCTTCAATTTCCTTTTTTTTTTTTTTAATTTTTAGGTAAATGGCATTTTCAGACAAAATAAGAAGGATATTTATAATTTGGGATTTAAAGTTTTAAAATGTCAACTAAGGACTTTAGTTCTTTATTGACATTTTTGGAAAAAGTGTGGTTTAATGTATCTTTTTAGTTTTTAATTCTAACATTGTTAATTTGAAACAATAATTTATTCGTGTTGATCATTGTCATTTCAATTAAAAAAAATTAAAATAAAACTTCATATAAAATTAAAAGATTAAAAATTGGGAAAATGATAGGAAAAGAAATTGAAATTTGGGAATTGTCAAAAAGGAAAGCTAATATTTCGTAATATCTATTGAGTATGACTATTGAATCACAATGTTTGGTTATCAAAATAATGCATAATACACACACATATTAACTACTAAGCTTTAACTGCAACTCATTCACAACTTTTGCAATGTAGATTGACTGTATTTCATTAGTTATTAACATACAATTTGGATAAATGAAATGTTCATGTCAATTTTGTTATGTAAATTTCTATTTCGAATTTGGTAAACTGAAATGGAAATTTGGTAATAACATCTCAACTTTAGGAATTAGGCATGTGCAAAAAACATAGCTCGTTCACATTTTTCCAAATGTTTAAATTAAAATCGCGCCCTTTTAATTTCTATTCAGAAATTGGTAGAATTTGTTGAAAATTTGTTATATACATCTAGAGTTTAAGAAAATGAGAAAAGTCATGTCTTGAGGAAATACTCAATTCCTAAACTAAGAATGAAGAGAATTCGAGTTGTGATTGTATGTCATATGCAAAATTAATTAATCAATAATTAATATTGGTTCTGTGCATTAGAAGAAATGTGAAAAATAGATTGTTTATGACTCGTGACGATTAGAGTTTTATATTATGTATAAATACTATGGAAAATGTAACACTGTAATAAAAATGATTTGGCTTATAATATAGAATAATTGTGACTGTATGATATGCAGTATAATTGGATGAGTGCTGATAGTAATTGGATTATATATGGTTTTATGGGGCAAAGGCAAAGAGATGAAGTTGATGAATCTTTTAGATGTTCCATCACAGACCCTCCAAGTGTCATCCCCTTTAGTTGAAATAATCGTCAAATCCTCCATTGACGACCAGAAAAGCAACAATACTAGTACTTCAAACGTTGTTGGATCCACAAGATTCATCGGAAAATGAAAATCAAGCAATATGAGATGATGGGAAGAATCAAGTAACATCAATAAATGTCTCAGACACTTAAAAATAGTCCCAAATTTTGGCATAGTGGGCATTAATTTTTAATATGGTTTAGCAAAGTGGCATTCCAGCAGTGCGATTGATGTGTGTGTGTGTGTGTGTGTTGTGGAGCACAATTGATTTCTCCTTCAAAGTGATTACATAAATATTTATAAGATTATCCATGAATAAAATTTTCAATTTGCTGAATTGTAACTTACAGTAAATCATATATTGCATTATTGTGAGTTTGTAACTTCCTCCTTTTTGAGTGAGTAAAGGAGTTCTATTAATTGTTAAGGCTGCGAGAGTTTTCCTTCGGTTCTAAATATAGAAATTAATTGAGAGATTTACTTGGGTCTAAATGTAACTTCAATTCACTTTATGCCTTTCAAACTATCCTTATTAATTGGATATATAAATAGGATTTCATCTATGATGTATTAAATGGGATATTTTAGGAAATATAGGTCAAGTTCTTTGTACCCATTATATCAAGTTCTACGATCATACATGTTCATTTTTTTTTTGTTCATATGAATTTATGATTAAATGTTAATATTTTAAAAATAGGCCATATGGTCATGTGTGATTGGAAATAAACTTGACATAATGGATAAAGAAATTGATGTAAGTATTGTCTTTTAGGAAAACTAACATACACTTATTACAAATATTTGAACTAATTTTTTTGTAAATATTTGTTCTCTTTCCAAGACAGAACAAAAAGAAAAACGATATATATCCTTTTAATGTAAGTTTCTAACAATCTGTAAAATGTATTGTGCCGATATTATTGCTGAATTTGGGATTTGACTCTTCATGCATTATTCTTTCAGTCATAAATATAAAAGTTAATTATAGGGAGCAAGTTTTAGTCCTAAGTGTAAAATCTTAATCAATTTTGTCTTTCATATTTATCATTTTTTTAGACTAGTTTATTTAATTTATAAACTAACATATATAATCAATGTTTTAAGGAGATCATGTAAGGTTTATTAGAATTAAATTATTTATTTATTTTTCTTAATTTTTTATATTAATTAAGTAACCCTTACATTGAGAACCGAAAGATGAATTTATCTTTTTAGTGACGCAATCGGTGAGCAAGGGAATGTCAAAGTCGGAAGATTGACAAAAACTGGAAGATCAACATTGGTTTGGATGATTTTGCATGATCCTAATTGGCTTTGGGCGAAAAAAACCCTAAAAGAATTACGTGTTTTCCAAAGTTAGAATTTTTTGAAGCTAAGATGGGTAGCAGAGTATAATGGATATGTAATAGCATTTTGGCAAGCTAAAATAATTATATCTAGTATGTCAAGGAAAAAAATAAATATTTATAATAGATTTTAGATAGTTTCTGACATTAGTGGAGGATAGATATTATATTCCTCATCACATCACTAGAAAAATATCAATGAGATTTGGAATAAATTTGAGCGAGTTTTAATAAGATTGGGAGGAAAAAATTCCATTGTGATCTTGTTCTTATTTGGATGAAAATAAAGCAAGATAAGGGGAAAAAATAAAAATGACATTTATGTCCCAAAAATTTAATACAATAACATCTAGGTCTTAAATTTTTTATTAAAAATGAATTACAAATCAATTCATCTATTTGTAAATAAAAGATTTTTGAATACAAATTATGTACTTAAATATCATGGGATAATCCTAGCTAATAATTTGTAACTGAGATTCTCATATTTGCAATTGTTTGAATTGATATTTATGAATCATTTTTTCAGTAAAAAATGTTGGAGACTTTACTTGTAATTAAAGTAAACTTTGGGGATGTCAATGTCATTCTATCAAAAGAAAAATAAGAAATTTACCATAATAATATTAGAGTGTATATATATAGATTGAATAGTTCTCATAAACACGATATTTGACAAAAGAAATTATGAACATAATACATGAATGGTGAATATATAAGGAAAGTACTTGTATAATTAACTAACTAATTCCATTCATACTTTATTACTCTCTCATCCCATTTAAATTGAAATGGACTTGAATTTATTGTGAAGAAGGGACTTGATGATTTAATGATTGTCAACAAAAACATGAACTTTATAGTTAGTGTGGATTCTTATTCTCATTCCATAATACACAGTGAACATCACCAATAAGGAGAGAAAGAGAAATTAAAGATAATTACGAAACAAAACGATGATATTTTTTAAGTGAAAAATGAATCCATTCCTCAAAAGTATATCTGTACAAAATACCCAACACGTTATGGGAATTACTAAATGAGAAGAAAGTGACAAAAGATTACATCAAAAGGAATTAGAATGTGATGATATAATGGTTAGTATCCCCTATATATACATAGCTCTAATAGATGATGTGTTGTGCTATTGCTAAAATCTTTGTCACAAGTCCATGTCCTCTGAAAAAGCCAAAAGCATTAGCAAACAACCTCATCTTCCTATCTTTTAAAAGTTTGCCAAACAAAAAAGGAAAAAATAGCCAACCAAAAGTAACTCTCCAAAGTTGACTTTTGTAGTGAAAACTTTAATTTGTGATCATCCTATATTCACATACTAATATTTTTGCTTTTGATATGAATTCAAGTAAAAGTCTATTTCTGGTGTTTTAGCTTTATATAAGGTTTTAATTTATTTTCTTGATTTTATAAAGTACATTTTCATCTTTTTAATCCTAATACAATATATATAAGCCTTGAATAGTAATTTTGTGTCAATGATTTATTATTGTTATTAAAAATTAAGCTTAATATGTTATTATTTTAGAATATTTGTCAACACTTAAAATTTTAATATCAATATTTTTATTAATGGCATTACGATTAAAATGCTGAAAAAGATTTTATAAAATTATCATATCAAAATCAAACCTCGTGTAATTTTAGTAAAATTAGAGATACAGTTCTGCCTGTAAATTCATTTACATTGACATTGCCTCACACAAATTAATTATAAGACTCTAACTTTCTTTTTATAAGAGATCGTTAGAAGTTGTCTCATATTTTATTAATTGATTTTTTATTTTATCCCTATTTAATTATTTATATGACTCATATCAATGTATTTAATTTTCACACATTTCTCTCAATCACATATTTTCTCTCTTCTACATAAATGATGATTTTTGGGCAAAATGTTATATTTTTTGCATATTTATTATCTCCACTTAATTTCAACTAATATATTGAACAACATAGTTTGCTTAATTGTGTTTTTATTAAAAACCGAGGATAACGTATTCGGCCGCATGTACGGAACATCCGAGAATGCGACGTCTCGCCATATATTGGTGGGTAAGTGGTAGTGCTTGCAATCGCAAAAGCTTTAATTTACACATTATATGTGTGTGTATGTGCGTGTGTGTGTACTTATATATATATATATATATATATATAACTATACGTTGAACCTGAAGTGTGAAGCACTACCACAGAGGATGACAATAATTTTTTATTAATTTTTTTACAATGGAAAAATCCCTACCACTAGTATTTAATATTTTAAGAAAAAATAAATAATAAGTTCAATACTCTTAAAAAATTATGTTTTTCTATAAATAGCTCATTTCATACACAACATTTCGTCCCGGACACACAAGCACAAAGCACTTCTTCTTCATCCCTAGCTCGCGGCCTCCTCTCTCTGTTCTTTTCTCACCGTCTCAGCAGCTGGTGGCGCCGCCGGTTCTTGCCGTGGCGGAAGAGACGATGAGGGACATATGTGAGGTGATGGATGAGTTAAAACCAGCCATCCTAATGGTTTTGGTTCAGATGCTTTATGTTGGGATTAACATTCTTTACAAACTTGTCGTCGTAGATGGCATGAACTTGCGAATTGTAATTGCATATCGTTTTGTTTTTGCCACTGCCTTTATGGCTCCTCTTGCTTTCATCTTTGAAAGGTACTTAATTTCCTTTTTAATTATTCATTTTCCTCTCAGTATTCTGCGTACTGTGAATTAAGTATATTATGAACTCTCATTAAGCTTAATATGTTGAGATTGAGGTAAGTAATTAAGCTACCCTGCTACCACAGTCAAGAGAGAAAGCTAGGTAGAGACAAGCCTAGGTTTTAACTATAGAAGGACTGATATTGAGAAGTACAAATAAAATACTTTGTTCACTTCCTAATATATAAGCTACTTTAGAGGTTAGATTTTGGTCCTAAATATGACATATCAATTCTTTTTTCTCTCCTATATTTATTATTTTTTAAAATTAATTTATCTAACTTATATAAACTAATACATCATCTAATATTATACAGAAATATTTTAGAAAGATTATGTTATATTTGTTATAATTAATTAATTTATTTAAATTTTTTAATTTGTCTAAGTTAGCTAAATAGATTTTATATTAAGGATGGGAGAGAGAGTATAAAGCTTGTTTAAATTAATGGATGAGAGAAATATATAATACTTAAATTATGTTAGGAAAAAAAGAAAAAAAATGGTAGGACATGATCCCCCGGTTCTCTCTCTCCCCACTGAACTCATAGTTATGTATTCTTAAAGTGTGTTTTGTATAACATACAAATTATTAGTGTGAAATTAAAAGGCATTGGTGAATTGTTTGCAGGAAGAAGAGGCCAAAGATGACTTGGACTATACTGTTTCAGGGACTTATATCTGGCTTATTTGGGTATTAATTCATTAATATTATTTTAGCTTTCTATATATATATATATATATACACACACACCCCCTCCGGTCCTAAATACAAGACCCGATTTGTAGTGTAAACATAAGACCTATTTTATAGTGTAATTTACACTACAAAATGGGTCTTATATTTAGGATCGAAGAAGTATATTACTTCAATTGCTTATTTGAGTGTATAATCTAATTCTACTCATGTAGTAATATAATACTCCTCTGGTTCTAAATATAAAACTTACTTTGTAATGTAATTTATACTACAAAGTGGATCTTATATTTAAGACCGGAAGAGTATAAACACAAGATTACGTGTATTGCTCTCTTAAATGGAATATCGAATAAAATAACAACAATGACTTAGGTTTGTGTCGTTGTCATCATATCACTTACTTGAACTACCTTTGTGAGGTAAGATATATTAATAATATCTTCCTCATTGTTTTTTTATTTATTATTAATAGATTAAATTTTACATAGTTTTCCTATAAAATTCAAGTCATATATAAATAATCACTTTGATTACTTTCAAAGCATAACAATAAATTTCCATAAACTTCCAAGCTTTGTAAAGATTAAGGAGTTATGTGTAAAGGGATGTTCACATAAATAACAGATTAATTATGATTAACACTTTGTAAAAATTTTTAAAAAATTGAGGGACCAAGAAAAATTATCAGAAATGTATAACATAAAATTTTTTCACAGAATTTTAGTTTTAATTAAGAGAATTAGACACATTATTTCATCATATTTATGAATAAATTAAATGTACAGAGGAACATTGGCACAAACATTATATTTGGAGACATTGGCCTTAACAACGGCAACGTTTGCATCGGCAATGAACAATCTCATTCCAGCCATCACCTTTGTCATGGCCCTCTTCTTCGGGTAATTGCTTCTTTTGCAATCATGTACAATTACTATTTTGTCCCCCACAAAGAACTTTAGATGTATATTTGTTGTGAATTATTCAGCTCAAAAAAAAATATTTGTTGTGAATTTTTTCCTTTTTGTTTATTATTGTTTGATTTTTATATCTTCTTTGGGCACATACATATTTTATTTTAATTTGTTTAATTGTGTTGGTTGGGCATTTGCAATGATATAATCTTCTTTTGACTTTGTTAACGATTTCCTACTTGGCTTCCACTAGTTTCACTTAATTTCATTATGGGTAGACAAATAACAATTTTACATTCTAAAGTAAATAATTAGGTTTATAACATTGTATTAATTATTAAAATTTAACCCAATTAACTATTCTCACCAATAAATTAATGAACTAGTTCTTTGACCGATCTGGTTAGAAGTTTTAGATGAGTTGACCGAGTTGAATTTTATATATATATATATATATATTTCTCTGTATTGATCTCTTTTTAAGGTTATTTAGGAATATTTTTATATATTTTAATTAGATCATATTACTTCAATTATGATTGTGTTTATCCTAATTTTCCTATAGTTAGACCGCTGATTTTTGAACAACTGCCTCTACTATTTTGATGACTGGTTGGGTTTTCGATACAATAATTTATAATAAAAGGAAAAGTAATTTTTAACATTGTTTAAAAAATTCTAGAAAGAATAATTTAATTTAAATGTTATAAAACATTTGTCGTCCAAGACTTCAAATTTAAAATTCTGGCGATAGAGTCTTTGAAATTACTTTTAATTTTATTCTCTATTATTATGTCAAGTCTCAATTTAGAGAAAGGGAAAATTATTAATAAATCTTTCAGTTTGATTCAAACTGTAATTTATTATTTTAAGAAAATTAATTAAAAATTTGCAATTAATAAATTATGATCAGGTTGGAGAAATTGAATTGGAAAGCAGCAGCCGGGAAAGCTAAGATAATTGGAACCTTAATAGGAATTAGTGGAGCCATGCTTCTCACCCTCTACAAGGGTGCACGAATCCCCACTCCCTCCTTCCACGTCACTGTTTTACGCCCTCTAACCAGCCACGTGGCATCTTCCCACTCTTCCTCCGGTGGTAACACCCTCTTGGGTGCCCTCGCTGCTGTGGGCGGCATCACGTCTCTATCTCTGTGGCTCATCGTCCAGGTCCCTTATCATTTTGACCCGCTTGTCGTTTTGATCCTTGATGCCGTCGTTTACTCAAAATTTCCTTTTTAATTGTGCAGAGTAAGATGAGCAAGAGATATCCATGTCATTATTCAAGCACCACATTGATGAGTTTTGCAGCTTCGGTGTTTTCTATTGGCTTTGCTCTTTGCAGTGAAAGGGATTGGAATCAATGGAAATTGGGTTGGAACATAAGGCTCTTAACTGTGGCTTATGCAGTATGTGATTTTATTTTAATTTATTAATTAATTATACTCCCTCGGATCTTAAATATAAGTTTTATTTTATAGAGCAATTTACAATATAAAATGAGTTTTATATTTAGAACATGAGCAGTACCATATCAATTTATGACTAAAAAGTATTTAGCTCAACTTTGTATATGTGTGTGTATATATGGTGAATTCTCTTATATTTGTATATTAATATATATATGTTATTTTATATAAAGCGTCATGTAAATTATGTATTGTATGTGTAGGGATTGGTGCCAGCAGGGGTGAATGTGGTGATGATAGCATGGTGTGTGCACAAAAGAGGACCTCTATTTGTATCAGTGTTTAATCCTCTCTTGCTTTTGTTCTTGGCTTTTATTGGGTCTTTCTTTATGGATGAGATGCTTCACCTTGGAAGGTACGTACACATATCTAATCTTTGCCTCTCAAATTTACTTTTTCCCTTAATAAATGACAATTTGAAATCAAATGAGAAGGATGTATACTATTATTTTAGAATGATGGATATATTTGTGAAACATTACATCAGCTATAAGAAACTTTGTCTCACTAAGTTGGTTACATAGGTCATATGAACATTATATTATTGGGCATAACAACAACTAATTCTTTTGAGAATAATGACGAAATGTATTTGATAGTCCCTTGAGTCTTAATTGCACGACTTAGTAGAATGATTTGCTTTGGTCCTAAATATAAAATTTTAATTTATTTTACCTTTCAAATTTATAATTTTTTTTTAAACTCCCTCTATTGATTGTATATATCGATGGAGTTTTCTATTAAGAAAATATTTTTTAATACAAATAATTGAATAAAATATTTTAGGAAAATCAACACAATTAACTAACTTAACTAATTTCTTTAAATCTCTATCAATTAATTGTCTAGTTTCTATATGTAGGATGAGAGGTTTTTTTTTTTTGGTATCGTTTTAATATAACACATTGTGATCATATGCTATGTAGTCATAATATGAGTTTTGATCACATTGATAAATGAGTGCTTAGTCATCAATAGTACGGTTATTAGAGTGCTAGTGTAATGATTTGGTATAATATATGGCATATGCATATCATGGAGAGTGCTGATAGTGTGCGGATTATATATGGTTTTATGGGGCAAAGGCAAAGAGATGAAGATGATGAATCTTTTGGATGTCCCATCACGGACGCTCGACGTGTCATCCCCTTCAGTTGAGATCATCGTCAAATCCTCCATTGATGACCAGAGAAGCAACAATATTAGTGCTTCAAACGTTGTTAACAGCGGGGATCACCAAGATTCATCAGAAAATGGAAATAAAGCAAAACGAGATGATAATGGGAAGAATCAAGTAACATCATATCAGGAAACTAATTAGTATGAGACACTTTGAAGTAGACCAATTAATTTTGATATTTTGAGCATTGGTTTTTAATGTTTTGGGAATGATCACATATTCCAGCATTGTAATGGATGGATACGCTTGTTGTGGAAAATTTTTAAAATTAATTTCTCTCTTCAAATTGTTGGGTTTTTTTTGTCGTTTTATAATGAAAAAGTTGATCGGGTGAAAACAAGTCTTATGATTTAAGGAGTGGGGCACATAAATATTTATTAGTAATTGCATAAAAATGGAGATTTAAAATATTTGAAGTTACTCAGATGAGAAATGTCTGCCATTTTTTGGAATTTGAACCCCATGTTAAATTTTATTATTAATTGTTCCATAAAAAATTATTATTATTATTATTTTAATTTGTAGTGGAATGTGATTAGAAAATCATTTGCATAAGATTGTGCATTTAATCATGATTTCTAGCAGCGGGGAGCGATATCGTTTAGCTATAGCTGAGTCATTATATTTTTTCGATTGGAATACAGCGCAACAAAGCAATTAAACACCTATATCATTACGTAGAACAGCCTCCAAGAACCTGGTGCAGAGCTGAAGCAAGTAAGACCAGAAGTTACCTTCAGAGCTTCCTTCGCTAACGAATCCGCAGCTTCGTTAAATTCTCTACTACACCATTCCACACTTACAACCCAATCTCTATGCAACCAGTTGCTGATCTCAGTAAGAATCCAATATTCCAAGTGCTCCTCGTTCCATCTTTCTATAAGCAACTGAACAAGCTCCAAACAATCCGTCTCAACTACGACCTTCCTCCAGTGCATGTCCCACGCCCTTCTCAAACCCCATAAGACAGCCCAAGCTTCCGCAAGAAAACTGTTTCCATGGCCAATGTTAAACAGAAATCCACTCAAGAACTCCCCATTATGGTCTCTCGCAAGTCCACCACATGCCGCCAAACCTCTATCTCCCACACAAGCTCCATCAACATTAAACCTTGATACAACCAACATAAGGCGGGATCCATCTGAGATTGTTTGGAACTGAATACTCCATGCCATTAGCAGAAGCGGACCACATGACCACCGCTCTAGCTTGTGCAATAACCTGTCTCAGGCCAACTGCTCTCCATTTAAAAACCCCAGCATTACGGTTTAACCAAACTTGCCTACAGACAACAGCGAACCAGACGTTCCACTTGAAACCCGAGACCACACAGCGTTGCTTAACATTCCACATAATCCAGCTCTGCACATCCCGAATGGAGAAAAAAGCTTCACTGATCAGTTCAGGTACCACATCTAACCAGCAAGCCCGAGCAACATGACAGTCACGAACAGTATTTAAAACATCTTCATTCACTTCATGACACATGTCGCACGAATTAAAGCGTGCCCATGTTGGTCTCTATCTATTCTCATTGTGTTAGTAAATAATCTCTGCCTCATGCAAAGCCATAAGAACAATCTACAACATTCAGGTACCTGTATCTTCCATAGAGCTCGCCAAGTACCATGAAAACGCGGCCCCGTGTCCCTCCCTAACATAGAATAAGCCGACCACACAGAAAAATCCCCATTATTATTATTAAACCACGTCGGCATATCTTCTCTAGAAATCTGTAAAGCTGGATAACTTCTATTGATAGCACTCAGAACTGAAACGGGAAGGAACTCTAGCATCTTATTCCACTCCCAATTACCAGAGGTAGAAATATACTGTGCCACATTTTCTTCACGCATAAGTGGAGAAATCTCGCATAAAGCATAATGGCGCACGGGTTCTAGATTAAGACATAGTTGAGTCATTATATTTTAAGACGGACTCAATAAAATTTAAGGTTTTTAATAGTTTCAATAAAATATAGTTTCTCTGGTTTATTATACTCCTCCGGTCCTTAATATTGGACATAGTTAATTAATTTGAGTAAATTAAATATGTTAGTTAAATTAGTTAATATGATATGTCTTTTCTAAAACACTCTGATCATCTCTCTTAATTTCCTCATTCTTCTATTTGATTATTATTGAGGGGATATTAATAAAGTTAATTTGAAAAAAAATTGATAAACATATAAAATATGTCTTGTATATAGAACTAACATCAACTTTCAAATTATATCTTATATTAAGGATCGGATAAGTATAAGTCAATTTAATTAGTTCATCATTATTAAAACAATGGTATTTAACTCATTAAATCTGTTTCAAATTTAAATGTATTTTTTAATTTTATCCATATTAAATGAGGTTGTGAGGGAGAGAGAAAAACACAATAAGCTACATTTAAACATTGACAAATAAGTACTACTCCATCCCTTATTATAAGATCTTTTTAACTAAATTACGCGGTTTAAGAAAATAGTTAAAATTAGTTAAAAACAATTAATATGTAGCAAATATAATTTTTTTCCAAATATACCCCTATATAAATGGTTAGAGGTGAGAAAGTGTTAGTAAAATAAATGAAGAAAGAGAATATATTAAATGTCTTAAATTAGAAGTAAAATAGGTAATAATACATTAAATGTTCAGACAAACTTAAAAGAAATCTTATAAAAAGAAATAAACCTATTCAAAAAATTGGATATTATAATAAGAAATGGAGGGAGTACCAATTACTTTTCAAATAACTTATATTATTTTTTTAAAAAGTCACTTATATTATGAATCAAGAAATAATAAAAAAAACACTGTATAAATAGTGAAATACTTTTGGTAGGATCATTACCATTATTATTGTTGTTACTGATGTTTCAACTTTCGAGAAGATTCTTTGAGGTTGTCATCATTTTCAGCAAACTCACCCGTTAATTAAATGGCATTAAAAAGCCACCAACGTTAGTGGGGTCTCTCTCATCCATCATTATATTCCATCGCTTCACTCACGTCCAGAAATTGGCAGAGTTATGGGCTCACTATTGAAATTAATAATAATATCTCCACTTTCTTTTCCATACCAAGCTAGCAACTTTTTTAATAAACAGAATATTAAGTTATAATTTATTTTCCATTTCTAAACTTATCTTAGGGTCTGTTTGAATTGGCGATAAAAAAAATTTTATTTTTAATCTGACTTTTAAAAAAATGAGATTAGATAAAAGGTATATTAGGTAATATAGTTTATGTTTGGATTCACTTTTATAAAAGTTAGTTTATAAAGTAGAAAAGTTATTTGAATTATGATTGGATAAGTAAGTTTAGTTTATAGAATGACCAAAATGGATATGACCTTTATTAAATGATAAAAAATGATCAAAAATATGAATTTACAAAATATAATAATTTTAAATTATCATAATAGGAGGAAGTTCTATATAATGAATTAAATATTTTTACATTAATGTGAAAATTTTTTAACCAAATAATATTACATAATTAATTGGATGATCTACTCTACACAGTTTATGTATATATAAAATGAAAAATAATATCAAAATATTATAAAAATTTTGTTCAACAAATATTTTTAATTTAAAAGAGGATTAAAAATAAATAGGTAAAAATTGATTGGAAGCATAAGAAATATGTAGAAAGAAGTATAGGACAACATAAATATAGGGGTAAAAATATATTTTGATTTTGAGAAGTTACTTTTGGATCAGCAAGATGAGCCATAAAAATTAACTTATGACTTAAGTGGCTTTTTGAGGTAAAATGACTTCTAGCCAAAAGTGATAAACATGATAATATAACTCAATCTGACCTTTGACTTCTAAAAGCTACTTTTATCCTCCAATCGCTCAAGCAAACAGGCCCTTAAAATGCTTCTTTTGAGTACTTGTACTAAGCAAGGCTAGGTTGATGACTATGAGCTTTTCTGTAGCTTGTGAAATTGGCAGTTCGTGAGCTTCTTTCGTCTTATGAATTCCCAGTAATGATGTTCCCTCAGCCCTCTTTCTTTTGCCATTTTGGTCATTCTCATTCTTTCCTTGTCATGCTAGTGAGTGCTTAGTCGGATCACCGCATCACTCTCAGTCAACTCAAACTAACGATGCATGTATGTTTCAGTGACAGAAGGATTGGCACATATAACGGAACAAATAAATAAAGATGAAATAAAAAAAAAAAAAACATAAGGACCTATTTCAAAACCCCTTAAAACTATAGGGACTCTTGTATTAGTTTTCTCAAAACAAAATAAAACTCTCATCATATACTTATTTCATATTCCTTAACTTATGATTACAAAGTTGCTTTCCAGGCTCCTATCTTGATTTCAAACAAGTTCTCCATTCTTTTTTACTAAGGGATTCCTTCAAACATTTTCTATTTTTTGAGTTTCTAGCAAGCACTACAAAGTTTTCTGGGCTTTAGTGAAATTTTTTTCCCAGCTATATTATCTTGAATTATATATTCATTTATGGGGTTGTGGCCAGCCTACTTGTGGGCTTAAGGCTTTGACAAGGACTGGGAGAAGTTTTGGGCTTGGGCCTTTGCAAAGTTATTATTGTGTTTTAATATGGGCCGATTCTTTTCTCTTGGTTTTTTTTTTTAATCTTAGGGGTTTATAACCCATCCCACCATATACCTGCCTCTATTTCAGAAGTGTCAGGATGCATATCATAATTCTTAATTAAAATTGTGCACTGGACTTCACTGAAATCTTTTGATTTCATAAAAACAATTACAAATACAATAGTTATTTAAATTTCATTTCATTACCCATTGAATAATTAATTTAGGAATTTCATTAATAGAGATTCCTTATCTTTTGCACATTTTATTATTCATGTTCCCATAGTGCATGTGGCCGGCCGTACTTTTTACATTTTTTCCTCGCCAACAAACAATAACATATTAGATGATTCGTCTTGGCTTTGGAATGGACTTTGTGATTGAAATTTACCTTTTACTACCTCCGATCCTAATTATAAGACTGATTATGTATCACCACTGATAAACACCGAAATAAGCGATATCCACTAGACCAACAGCACCCCTCAAGTAAAAGCTTCCATTGCCGGTTGACCAAAATGAGGATCCCAAATTGCATGAACAATAGGTCTTATATGTAAAGGATCCTAT